ATTTCTATTTACAATATTATTAAGTTATATGGTATTAACTTATGGTAAAATATATTTTTAAAATAATTATAATCGAGTTGTTCGAAAGATTACATATACATTATTATATTTATGTTTAGTACTTGGATGACCGGCCTTTCGTTATTTTTTTTTAAATCAGGTTTTTTCGCGTTAATTGAACGAGTGTTGGAAAAAGCGCGATAAAAAGTCGTTGTGTGCATTGGCCTTAAATATCTCTTTTCTTGGCTGCTCAAGAATAGAGTCTGACAGAAAATATTTCAAGAAAAATATACATATTTGCCTTCTGAACTGCTTGATGTTTAAAAAATAAGAAATTTAGAAGCATTCAATTTATAAATTTGACCCGGTTACTGAACGATTATTGAGTACTAGCGGCTCACCCTAGCCTCGCTCGGGTTTGCCTCTAGAAGATCAAAAACAAATCTATCCCTCGAGAACCGTATATTTTTCGGGGATAAAAAGTGCCAATATCTAGCCTATGTGTTATTACATACTATAATCTATCTCTGTGCCAAATTTCATCCAGATCCGTTCAGCCGTTCTGGCGTGAAAGAGTAACAAACATACATCCATATTGACAAACTTTCACATTTATAATAATAGTATTGATTGTAAATACTCAATAATCAACTAATCAAATGTATCACAAATATATATATATATATATATATATATATATATATATATACATATTATGTATATAAATTTTATAAACTTCAAGTTGGATTAAAATTTTCTCTTTTTCAAAATCAGTACACGTTGCTTAGATTGGCAAGACGACAAATTTGCATTTATCGAATTCTTTCTCTCTTGATACTTTCTAGCTTTAAAGGATAAGCTTTGTTTTTAAATTGACTGATAAAGTTGATAGCTACAGATTTATAGATATTTATATATGTGTGGAAAAACATATTTATATTTGTTACTAGCGACTTACCCTCGATTCGCTCGGGTGCGTTACAAAGTAAATTTTTTTAGGCGGAACCTTAATTCTTTGCCTAAAGTAAGAGTAGCCTAAGTTACTCCTTATAACATTAACTATCTGCCAGTAAAAGTTGCGTCAAAATCGGTCCATCCGTTTCGGGGATTAGCCGGAAAAACCAGATAGACAGACAGACAAAATTAAAAAAATTATAATGTGTATTTCTTATAAGTACCGTATATAACTCCACACGCATTTAGTAAAAAGCTGCTATTTTGACGTTACAAACAGAAACTTTAATTTTATTTTTCTATATAGATAGATAAGCGTAGCTTATGTGATTTCTACGTACATTATTAAAATCTAATTAATGTATTTTATTTATAACTAGCATTGCCCGCGGCTTCGCTCGCGTTCAGATGACCAAAAACCAAATTTTTGGGTTCTCTTAAGGGGTACCCATCCAGTCAGTTGAGCCCAGGCTTGACAGAGTCCTACCATCGGTGAAAATCGGTGGGAGGACTCTGTCAAGCCTGAGCTCAACAGTTAGTATAAAATATTTTTTGAAGTTAACATAAATTAATGAATTTATATTAACTTCTAAAAATATTTTATACTAACGACTAACCGATAAGAGTCCGACAGGGCTCTTTTTGTTACATATTTTATTGCTATAATTCAAACTATCGGGGCAGCGGACTGACACTTTTCTTCTGACTAAATTCATTTTAATAGAAATAAAAGATGTAGATATTCGGAAGTAATAGCTTCCTATTAGTAAAAGATTTTAGAATCGGATCGTTACTTTCAAACACTTTTATCTCCTTGTATATCTCTCTCTCTCTCTCTCTCTCTCTATATATATATATATATATATATATATATATATACAGGTTTGATTCACGATGGAAGTAAGCTTAGAACTTTTTTCGGACTAACTATACTAAACTTGATTCTTAGTTACCAATTCTTCTTATATGTAGGTATAATATCTCTTAATATCATCTTTATAAAGTTAATTTCCACTCATTTTGGTCCTTTTACCTTTAAAAAAATACCTTAACGCAAATCCCAAATCCAGAGCTGAATTAGCTTACATTTGATATCTTTTATTATGAAAGTTTGTAATACGTTCATTTAATGCACATAATGATAAGGGATATCGTCGTTAGGGAAATGAAAATCATACTCAAATCTAGTTTTATGTTCGTGATCTTCATTTAAAAGACGATGTGTGGTATAAATCGATGTCGTTATACTATGTTTGGCCCTCTTACTTTATCATATGTCAGTTCAAAATGAACTTATGTTACAAGTTATAGACTAAATTTTTATTTGTTAATATCTTAATTTTTCATTAAAAATATTTAGTTAATAGATTAATATTTTGTTTTTACTGCTCATTATAAGAATAGAGTAACAGTTTGCTTTTAAGATCTCCACATGACGCCTAGAAATAAATTAACGTGCTGGAGATTAAGTGGTAGTCACAAAAATAAAATTATTTAAGCAATGCTATAATTTTCTAAATACAAAAATTAATATTTTCTTAGATTTAAGCGAATATTTGACATTTTAAATAAAACTATCTTTGCGGATTTGTTTTGACTAAAAATCAAAATAAATGCGTGAATAAATCCGGAAAGATAATTTTATTTAAAATTAAAATACAATTTGAACAGTAGGTGGCGCTGCAGTCGGTGCACCACTGATCATCTCCTAAGCGGCAGGGACGATTTTAATGATATTTTTTGTGTGTGTTCAAGTGGGTCCCTGTAAGGTTTGGAAACACAATTTGACCAGTAGGTGGCGCTGCAGTCGGTGTACCACTGATCATCTCCTAAGCGGCAGGGACGATTGTAATGATATTTTTTGTGTATGTTTGGTTCGGTAGGTGGCGCTGCAGTCGGTGCGTCGATAGTGCGTTTCTTGAATCAAATAAAAATCGATGTGTGTATGTATGTTTCATATGGACTCCAAAACAGCTGGAGTGATCTTGATGTAATTTTCAGGTAATCTTCAGATTAGCCCAGGCTGCAGGTGATCCTGTGAATTTTGTTAGCGATCGGAAATTTGGACGCGGGCGGAGCCGCAGGTACAGCTAGTCTATATATATAAATAGGTAAAGACAAAACAGTTCAGTACCTTTTCATCTTTTGTTTAATAGCCGATTTTTTTTTGTTTAGTAGTTATTAACAAGTTTTTATGTTATTAACAAAATTAAGTTTTGTAAAATCATATTATATATTTTCCTCAAAATTTAAATAATAATAATGATAAAATTTCAACTAATAGGCCAATACTAGTATTAGTATTAATAAATGACTGTTAGACCAACTTAACAAAAATTTTAATATACAGCCCATCTCTCTTTTGGTTTTACTTTTAATATATTTACTCATACTCCGCCACTCTAATCTCGTTATTCCATATTAAAATAGAAATATAACGTAACAAATAACAATATATCAAATGTATTTGAGTTTAATGGCGATTGCTATCACACAATATTAATTTTATAATTGTTTTAAATGGCTTGAGCTAATTGAATATATTCGCAATGTAATAGTCCATAATTCCATTATAAATTAATTAACTTAGTAATTATTACCAAACTACATTATAGCAAATATAAAAAATATATAGGTAATATTGAATTTACTCTTCATAGATAGACATGAAATAGAAATAGAAGAAAAAGAAGATAGACATGAAATAACAAAAAGTATTATAGTATTATTTTCTGTCTGTTTCAACGAAATCAATTCGTAGAATCAAAATTAAAACTTCCGATTCAATAAATAGCATCACTAATTTTTTATTTCTAGTTTAGATATTATTTAACTAGCGTTTTACCGCAGATCATTCATTATCTATTAGTATATATTTTTAAAATAGAGTAAGTATTACTTATTATGATGATAAGCTATTTTAGTGTAAGGTTTTATCAAAATCCGTTTAGTGGTTTTCGCGTGAAAGTAATAAACATACGTTCACACATTTCCAAAAATTCTCGTTTAGGATATTAGTAGTAAATGAAGGAATATCTCACCTACCTTTCAGTAGACATAAAATCTAAGCTATTAAAAGCTTTACAACTAATAACTAATTGATACTTTTTTATTAATGGATAGGCTTGCGCTTGACGACAATCTACACTGGAAGCACTGATGAGATCTAGGTTGGAGACGCTTACCTAGAAGATGTCTATTCACTCTTGCCTTGAAGATCATTAAAAGTGATTCTAAAATCTAAAGGAATATAACTTTGAGTCTTAATTTAAATCGCTTCCACTTACATTATGTACCATATCAACTATATCCGCCTTAAACGGCTGGCAGAAAATGGCCGGTCACATAATCTCCGGGTTATGACAAAGCATCAGTGTTCATCTGGACGCGGTAGATCAACTAGTTATTGTTTGCTCAGACACTATTAATATCGACGCTCAGCTTAATATAGAGTGGTATAGAACGAATATAGAATTAGAATATATAATGGATTAGAATAATCTAGAAGATATTATTTGGTAATAAAGATACAGTAATAATGCAAAATGAAAAAATAGACTTTTTAGCAAAAAATAGTATAGCACATTAAAAAATATATTAAAATTTTAAGTTTAGTAGATTTTCAATAAGAACAGATCATGAAGCATGCTTTGAATCCAATTCATATAAAATTAGTTTTATAATAATATTTGAAGTATTATGTATAAGGAATCTTATGAATAATGAAGTATATAAGATTAGCATAAAAATATTTCGTATAATCATTTCTCGTTCATAAATGTTTGTCCCGTATGGGAATCGAATTCATAACATAGCATAGAAGGCTACGGACTTGCTATTACTGATAACAATAATAAGTATCTTAAAGAACGCTCCACTGCTCCATGACGGTCGCCTACATATTATTATCAAAAAACGAACATTTCATAATCAATTTACAAATTAGTAATCGATAAAGTGATATGACATGCATGTAGCTTCTTACCAATTTAATATATATAGAATGATTTTTATATTTATTGTCAGTTAAGTACTTAAAACAAGACATGGCGGTTATTGTAAGGACCTTAGTTATATTTGTTATGTTAACAGTGTCAATAATAGAAGGTGCAAGAATCTTGGCATACTTTCCTACACCATCTATCAGCCATCAAGTGGTTTTTCGTCCATTAATACACTCATTGGCTAAGCGTGGACATGAGGTCATTGTTATAACAACAGATCCTGCTTTCCCGAAAGGTGAAGCGCCAGTAAATTTGACGGAAATTGATGTACATGATATAACATATAAAATTTTACAAGAACTATTAGTGAATCATACAGGAGAAAAAAAACAAATAGTGGTTCAAGCGAAGTTGATATTTCAAAAATACGCAGAAATGGTTGACCAGCAAATGCACTCAAATGATGTAAAAGAAATTTTGAAAAATAAAGACAAAAAATATTTTGACGTGCTTTTACTGGAAGCTTGCAATCGTCCTCTTTTAGGTATATCTCATATGTTTGATGCGCCAATTATCACATTTAGTTCATTTGGTGCTTTTTCCGTCCAATATGAAGCAATGGGAGCACCTCTGCATCCTTTTTTGTATCCCACAGCTGGACGACAGAGATTATATAATTTAACCATGTTAGAAAAAGGCATTGAACTTGCTAAACATGCAGTGTTGGAATATATTATTTCATCTACTAAAGATTTTGATTATTATATAATGAGGAAAAATTTCGGTAATGATGTTCCTTCATTTGAAGTATTGAGTAAAAACATTAAAATGATGTTTCTGAATGAGCATCCACTCTGGGCTGATAATCATCCTGTACCACCCTCTATTATTTACATTGGTGGTATTCATCAGGCAACAAACAAAGAATTACCTGAGGTAATTAATTATATTTTATTTATTTATTTATAAGCTTTTCAAGAGAAAGAAACAGTTCAATAAATAATTACATTATAAAACATATAAAAGTATTCTTAAATCTTTATCATATTTAGATACCAATAAGCTTATCAATATTAGTAGATCTAAAACTATGTATTAATTTGTTTTTAGGATCTTAAAGAATATATGGACTCTTCAAAATATGGTGTTATATACGTAAGCTTTGGCACAAATGTTTTGCCATCAGTTCTACCTCCTGAAAAAATAGAAATTATGACAAAAGTTCTTTCTCAATTACCGTACGATGTTTTATGGAAATGGGACGATAGTGCGCTACCAGGGCAATCAAAAAATATTAAAACTGCAACTTGGTTTCCTCAAACGGACGTACTTAGTAAGTTGAACTTTAATTTGTTGTTGCAGTGCTTTAATAAAGTGTTTTCACTTAGCCAGTCTAAGTATAAACAAGTACATACATATTATTATGTAACAGTATAGTATGTATTTTTATACAGACATTATATTATGTGTAGATATCGACCCTACAACTTTTGCTATGGCAATTGATACAACTGTGCATTTTTTTATATAAATGAAATTTTGTGATTATGATATATCCACAGACTCTCTTTTATATAGTTTCTCGTTCTAGTTCTGCTAGTTTTAGTACGCAGCTTCGTTCATGTATTAAGAACATATTATGTATATAAAAAATTGCCCAGATAATATAATCTATGGTACACGTATAGTATATGGGACGCGGCCCCTGGCAGTGTGTGGTATTTTTGGATAGGGGAGGTGATATGGAGCTCAAATATATAAAAAATATTTTGAGGAAACGAAGGAGTCAAAAGTTATGGAGATTGAAAGTGAGAACATTTCCCTACATTGCTATAGAGATAAACATATCTTTTAATGAATAGTAAACATCCTTTTTCGTGTAAAATCTATATTTTCATAACAATTAAGGCTTAATTGTATTAATATTTCAATAATTTCACTAAAAACAATAATGTAAACAAAATAATCTTAAATTTTGACAAAACTGACAATTTCTGTTATATATACCGCTTTTAGGACATTACCGCTTAAATATAAGAGTTATGCATATTAAAAGTGAAAATTGACATCAGATTGCTAAGATTTTAAAATAGAAATGTTATTTTTAATTCATGCATGCCTTTACTAGTTTTATTTGATTTATGTAAAATATTGAGTAATATAATTAATTTACATTTAGCAAAAAAATTAAAACATTATTTGATTTTATTATCAATGAATACTTTTCAGTATTTTTGGCGGGTAGTCACAAAATAATACGAATTTTTATAGTTTAAGTGAATAAGATCGGTACTCATTAAACGCGTTTAGGTTTTCATATTTTTTTAGTTTTTGTTAATTTTCGTATATGTTCGTTTCTAGTTTTTTGTTTTAAAAGTATTACCTACTATACTTTGATAACTTGGATAATTTAGGTTGAGAAGGCTACGCTACGCTTCGCTCTCGCCTTAGCCTTCTCGTTAGGTATTTTTTTTAATTTCAAACCCAGAACCCCTGCTCATTGCTCATTAGTGATTAATGTTAATTTAAAATTCGGCGTTAGATCTGACTGATTTGAAGAGATTTGAAGATCATTTTGGCACTTGGTAGTGACATTTTGACATTTCCAAGTGTAAAAATGGCAGTAATGTCAAATTTTGTAATGTCAAACTTTAAGTCTTAATAACTTTTGACTTTTTTGTTTCCTCAAAATAAATTTTATATATTTGGACTCCCTATCTCCTCCCCTACAAAAAATATCACCCAATCCTCCAGGGGCCGCGTCCTATATACTAAATTGCAGCCTACAGACTTATAATTTTAATAATAGTATGGTTTATGTTCATAAATATTATATGTATCTACATTTTTCAGAGCATCCAAATATGAAGTTATTTATAACTCAGGGAGGACTTCAATCAACAGATGAAACTATAGATGCTGCAGTTCCTGTTATAGGTATTCCGATGTTGGGTGATCAATGGTATAACGTTGAAAAATACGTTCATCATAAAATTGGCTTACAACTCGATATTACTACATTAACCGAAAATGAATTTAGGGAATCTGTTAAAACTGTGATAGAAGATGCAAGGTGAGAATTAATACATATGCACTCTCATTTGTTGCATTTGTTGAAAAGATATTAGAAAGAATTTGTTGAAAAGATATTAGATATTATAAAGTATGTTAAAAATATTGTCATTTTCGTCTGATGTTTTATTTTATCAAATTGCATTAAATTTAATTAGATTAGAAAAGGTAACATCTATTTAGTACATTTTTTTTGAAAAAGATTGACTTATATTTTAATTTTCAGTTACAAGAAAAATGTTTTACGGCTTCGAAGTATTATGAGAGAATATCCTATAAAGCCACTAGACAACGCTGTTTGGTGGACCGAACACGTCATAAAGTACGGAGGCGACCACCTCAAATGCCCAGCAGCAGGCTTGTCTTGGGCAGAATATTATGAAGTCAATCTTGTTCTTATAATCTTGGGCATTCTATTAATCGTTTTAGCCATCTTATTGTATATCCTAAAAAAGCTTTTCAATTTCGTTTGCAAAATTTACAGAACAATTTTCAAAGTAAAAGTTCATTAGATATTTAACAAAATGAAGTCTGTGATTGCTTAGAATAATATTATGAAGAAATTATAAAGTCTGATATGAGCGATAACAGAAAGATTCTCTTTTTTTCAATGTTGATTCTGCGCTTAAGAGGATGCAGATAAGATCTTTATGTTAATGAATGCAAAAGTTCATCTAAGAATGAATAGTCGTTAAAAAGCTACATTATTATTTATTTTTTATAAGGTTTTGTCCTAAGAGAGTGCACGACAACGAGTGTAAGTAACAAAAAAAGTTTTTCCGCGGAATGGATGAAGCGTAAGTATGAGTATACTTCGCAATAATTTGTAATACTAATATACACACTTAGTAAAGATAACCACGAGACTTAATATAATTATATATTATACATGAGGAAGTTATCAGTTCTATTATTTCAGTTCTCCAATTTTATTCATAGTTAAATTTATTCCTTTATATTATAAGCTTTAATATATTTTTGATTTTGATGTTCACAAACTCACTTAATTGCAATTTTATTTAAAGCTTAGCACTATTTAATGAATAAAGTTTATGTTAATGAATTAAATTTTGGAAGTAATATTGAATTAAATTAATGTAACGAAAAAAATGAAATAAAAATCTTTAAATATTATTATTACTTATTTCATATTGTAACTGTTTATTTTATAATGCTTATTTTCCTATAACTATATTTTCTAGTTAAAAACAAAATAAATTATGTTTAACTGCATTTAATTAAAATTTTACTATGTTACTAGTAAGGGATAATACAAGTAATTTATTTCACAAAATATGCAAGCCTTATCACTACTGTATATTATTATTATTATCATTTATACAATGATGAAATTTTTGATTTAGAATTACATATATGAAGACTATCTATAAATATATTTAAACGAGCAATTCTTGTATATATATTATATATAAATATAAAATAAAGAAATTTAAAGAAATTTAGTACACTAACACAATATCGGGGGCGATAAATCGATCTAGATTAATTTTATGTCTGGGAAAACGCGTGTTTTCAAGTTTTCATGTGCGTTTGTTTTACATTATTCCACGCAAAATATGGTCGCTAATTCACACGCTAGGACATAAGCATCGTGGTCAAGCAGCCAAGGCGCAAGTTTGACAACCACAGGTGTCTGGGTTCGTATGCCGGTCGGATACAAAGTTTTTACTCTTGTTTTTTTTTAATATTTATTCAAGTTTTTAGTTTAAAAAAAGAAATAAAACCATACTGTAAGCTAAAAACTCCGAGCGAAGCTCGGTAGCCCAGGTACTTTTAATTATATGTAAAGATTAATAAACGGCCTTGGACTTATCGTTTTGATTAGCTTGCTACTTATTATATGGATAACGATATTATTTTATCGCAGTGTATAATATAACCCAATTTTTAATTACTGTCACATGAGACGAATGATATCGTTATGATAATACTATGAAAAGTTATTTTAGTTTGGTATCCAGTCCTTTATAACGTCCCACTGCTCGGAACGAGCCTTTCGAAAAATTGTTAGGTTCTCTCAGAATAAATATAATAATAATAATATTTTTCGTTACATATGTAATGTTTTGAAGTTGGGCCACGAATTTTTTTATACTTTATAGTAACACGTATTTTTAATGCAGATACCTATTATACAGATGAACTAGGAAAATACTTTGCGGCCCAACTTCAATATTACATGTACAAAGAAAAATAGTATTATTTTTACTTTATACTGTCTTAATCTTAAACTCTGGAACCTGCTGTAATCTTATCTTATTTTATCATTTTGGAGTAACTAAGTACACGTGAAGATAAAGTTTTAATTAGTAATAATTAGTATTCCAATATATTATTATCAGGTAATGAAATATTGTTAATCTTTTCAATGATAAAAATATAATATCCATATTAAATATTAACAAAATTTTATATAAAGGCTGAATAACAAAAATGTTATCAGTCGAGCACTCAAAATTAGATATGACTGACATGAAGAAATTTTTTATATTATGTGTCGTCATTGCAGTAACGAAAATAGAGTGTGCAAGGATATTAGCATATTTTCCTACACCTTCAATAAGCCATCAGATAGTTTTCCGACCAATAACTCACGCTTTGGCCAAACGTGGACATGAAGTTATTGTAGTCACTGCTGATCCGGTCTTTACGGAAGGAAATGCGCCTGCAAATCTCACAGAAATTGATGTTCATGACGTGTCATATAAAATGTGGGAACAATTGTTACAAAATCATAATGGTAAAAAGCAAGATATCATGCTTCAAATACTATCACTTTTCGAAAGATTTGCAACTATATTCGATACACAAATGGAGACAACCGTAGTGAAAAACATGTTAAAAAATAAAGACAAAAATTATTTCGATATACTGTTATTAGAAGCCTGTAATCGACCACTCCTGGGTATGGCACATAAATTTGACGCGCCAGTTATCTTAATCAGCTCATTTGGCTTAGTGCCTTACCAGTATGGTTTGATGGGAGCACCTATACATCCTTTACTGTACCCTACACCTGGAAGACAAAGATTATATGATTTAACTCTTATAGAAAAAGGTTTGGAACTTTTAAAGCATGTAGGATTAGATTATTTAATTTCATTTACTGATGAATATGACTACAGTATAATGAAAAAAAACTTTGGTGATAATGTGCCAATATATGAAGAACTTATAAATAAAGTTCAGATGATCTATGTTAATGAGCATCCCATTTGGGCTGACAATCATCCTGTTCCTCCTAGCATTATTTACATCGGTGGTATACATCATGCAGAGGATAAAGAACTACCTAAGGTATGTGAAAATACTTATATATTTTTATTATTACATCATATTTTTATAAACATCGTGGCCCAAAGAAGTTTGATTGCCCTATTCCTAAATCCAAAAGATCGTGCAAAAATAGATAAATTTTTAATGTCTCAATATAGGTGAGAAAATAATATTAATGTTTGAAACATAACATAGAAATGTTTTTTTCTTTGTATAAATATTAAATAATTCCATACATTTTTTGTTTAAGGATCTTAAAGATTTTTTAGATTCTTCAAAGCATGGTGTTATATATGTAAGCTTTGGCACAAACGTTTTGCCATCACTTCTTCCACCTGAAAAAATACAAGTTATGACAAGGGTGTTTTCACGATTGCCTTATGATATATTATGGAAATGGGATACAAACGAGTTGCCTGGTCGATCAAAAAACATTAAAATCTCGAAATGGTTCCCACAACCGGATCTCTTGAGTAAGTTTATATTATATATTATACTTAAATTATAGATTATAACGGTTACTCGTAGTTTAAATTATTTTATTTAATACATTACCATAATGTTTTATTTAAGTTATATGTATATAAATAAATAAATATATTGTTGTATATATGTTACGAAACTTGCGGACCAATATTTTTTTCGGATAACTTCATCCTCAACGTCCTCGACTTAGATGGAATTGGAGGATTTGGGGAGGTTAAAGCTATTACTTTTAAATCATTTTTTTTACATTTCACGACAATCTTGTTAGTTGGGATAGATCGCTATGAAAATACAAAGTACGCTTGGAGATATTCTCACCTGATATATTTTAATTTGTATTTTTCAGAGCATCCAAAGGTCAAATTATTCATTACGCAAGGTGGTCTTCAATCAACAGATGAAACTATAGATGCTGCAGTGCCTGTTATAGGTATACCAATGTTGGGTGATCAATGGTACAATGTAGAAAAATATGTTTATCATAAAATTGGATTGCAACTAGATATAACAACATTAGCAGAAACAGAATTTAGGGAGGCAATCACGACTGTAATAAAAGATAAAAGGTAAGCGATACACCAACACGAATTTCACTCGATGCTAATAATTTGTCAATATGTATGTAGATCTTATTTTTTTAAGAAAGAGTACTTAGATCAAATCATTAACCTTTAGCTGATTTCTGATATGTATATCATAGTCTACATATGTGCATACACCATGTTTGAAATTAAGGTAATGCAGATAATTTACGAATATGTGCATATGTGCCCATTGATTATTTATAATTCAAATTTCAAAATAATTGACAATATAAATCTTTAATTTATCTATGAATGTGCTATCTTTACCAATTACTTCAAAATATTAACTTACCGTAATTTGTATTTTAAGCTACAAGGAAAATATTATGAAACTTCGGACGTTAATGAGAGAGTATCCAATAAAGCCGGTAGATAACGCTGTATGGTGGACAGAGCACGTGATAAAGTACGGGGGAAGTCATCTTCAATCACCAGCAGCTAACATGAACTGGATGGATTATTACGAATTGAAACTTATACTTATCACTTTAAGCATTTTAATAGGTATTTTAGCACTGTTGGTTTTCATTGTTAAAAAAATCATTAATTTATTACTAAAGCTATGTAAAACGAAATCTAAATTGAAAAAGCCTTAATATTTTTTAGTAACTAGTCATGTACGATAGAAGTGAAGTAATGTAAGAATATATATGTAGCAGTAGAGGAGCACAAAAAATGATGAGATGAAGCTTTATCGTTGCATTTGCTTAAGAGTGAAAAGTTAAATACATTTCCAATACAGACTATTACTTTTACATTTAAAAATAAATCCTATTAAAATCGCCGTTCGAAAGATGTGCGATCCATGAACGAATTAGAGACTTCGTTCATGGTGCGATCAAATACAACAACTAAAAACATATGATACTGTATATATGTAGAAATAAGTAATACTATAACAATAGGTAGTAATATAAGAATTAAAACGCTAAATCTACAATCAGTAGTTTTAAGATATAAAAAATAAATAGTTACATTTCATAAATAACTAATATGGTAATCTGGACAAAGACGCTTTGTATCAATATCGGTATTTTGTGTGAGTGATTCTGAACACAATGTTTTACGTAAATTAGACCAGAATAAAAATACACTTTATTTTATATACATTTCATATGTTTTGTGGAATCGAAGCCACGAATCTTTTGCCACCAAGCATTGGCAAGCTCTTGATACGGAAAAGAGGTCCATATAATTAGATTTCTATCGGCTTTACTTATGAAAATTGTTTAAAAATAAAATATCTGTTATCAGACGTAAATAATCAAATTTAGCGAAACAAACCAACCGTATATGTAAAGCTATTGACCGGCTTACTTGTTTTGAAATTTCACCCTTTATGTCAAATAACTTGATCGTGTCGGGCTTTGTTTGATTTATATGGAAACCAAAGTACATATTTGCGAGAACATTTATTTACGTCTTGTTTATCTAGTATACTTAAATGTGTATATAAAGTAACGTAGCAATCAAATCGTAGCAAAAAATATCATTTTTAAAAATGAAACATGAGATTAGGCGTGCTTTAATTATACATTATCGTTTTTTAATGTCATCAAATTGCGTCGACATTGAAATTTTCTGTCTGTGTATTATGTTTATCATCCATGTTAACTTGTAATAGTGGCCAATATCATTGGTTTCGTTTTATAGACAGGAAATAAATTTTTCATACACAGTCCTATTTATAAAATTGTGTTCGTTTTAACTTTCGTCTGTGAATGAAATATATATTAAGTTTGGGTTCGTAAGCAAATTTTCTCTAAGTAACATGAGCGAATCTCTGTCTTAGATTTAATGACAGGTCTAGTGGTAGTACTAAGAATGCTTTAAAGCTATTGCTCATGGTCGTTCCGAAAACTACATCGACACCAGATAAATATAATCGAACATGTTTGAAAGTAAGCATGGTCAAATCTATTTGTCAAATACCTTCAAACTTATTTGACAAATATGTTTGATTGATTAGATAATATGTTTGAAACTGTTCGGAACATTTTAAACGTCACAATTTGTAGTAATATTTCAATTGTTATGAGACACATAATATTATTATAACATTATTATAAATTTTAATTAAAGTTTAAATATTAACAAAACATTTAAAAGTTTGTTTATTGAAAATAATGTATGTGAATTAATTATTTAACATAAAAATATAAGCGAAGCAAATTCGCCGATTCGGCATTTTTTTTTAATCATTCTTTTTATTTTTGTTGTTATTAGGTATATTTAAATATTAACCATTAACAAAAACTATTTATTTTACTATGAAATGATTATTCAATGTGTTTCGTTAGTTCTGAATTTAATATTTATTAAAAAAATAAATCGATATATAAGTATTCATGTTATAATACTTATTCATTAATTTTGTTCCATTTTATTTAGTTTCATTTTTAGCCAAATCAATCAAATCAAAAGTAGTAGTTGAAATTTGTCATACATCAAATTTGAGTCGTCGCTCATTTAACTAATCCAAATACCCCCGTATTTGCCTTAGTCACCATGTTTGGCAAGTGGATTGGTAGCTGCAAATCTTTCGCTGATAGCGCTACTACTGCCCGGTATCAGGATTGGTATTCTCGGATTCTAGTATTTATTATATATTTTGGCCGCTAGAGCCTCGTTCGTTATCCAGTGAGATGCACCATGGGCAGGTAAGGTTGACGATAGGTAGCCTAAAGTGATTGTCGACCCTCTACATCCCATTTGCAGCAGCTTTTGAGTCGTCGATCCCACAGTCCCTTAAGACCAGGGTCTTTAATCAGTGTGTCCTGCCTGTAATGACTTACGTAGCCAAAACAAAGACACTCACTGTAGGACTGGTTCACAAGTTAAAAGTCGCTCAGCAAGCAATGGAATTGGTGCGATTAAGCGAATGAGTGCGATGCGAATCCCAAATTAGGTCATTCGCCAGAGAACTAGTCACTAATATCGCGTGTATATGTAGCACGCTGAAGTGTAAGTGGCTGGTCACGTTTCTAGGCGTATAAATGGCCCATGGAGCCTACAAATGTAAAAGTGGAGATCACGTTTAGACAAACATAGTGTAGGACGCCCTGAGGCACGGTGGATCAACGAATGACGATTTGAAAACGGTACCAGGTACAGGAAGGATGCGGGCTGCCAAAAATCCGTATGGTTGGTGTTCTATGAAGGAGACTTTCGTTCATCAGTGAATGACGATAATATGAAAAAAATACATCAAAAAATTATTACACAAAATACTCTCATAAAATATTTTACTAACAATTACTAACAAAAGTATATAATGTCATTATGTAGAAGGTGCTTAAGATATAACCAACTTCATTAAGATATTGTGTACAATCACTAATTAATATTCTAAATATCAATTCTTATTAAGTGACTTCCAAAAAGGAGAATGTTCTATGTTCGTCTGAATGTATTTTTTTTGTTTTGCCAGCCAATACAAATCAAAGCACACTGACTTCGAAAATATCTGATTAGGTATCTATAGTAACTGAAAACTGCCATTCAGTATTTTTTGAATTTTTAGTGCTTTTTTTGGAAGTCGGTTTTTATATTATTTTTTTAAGTTTTATTTCAAGTATTCCACTATTACTAATTCATATTGTGGTAATTAAAAGATTTTGTAAGATTAAAAGTTTTTCCTCTGGACTCATCCGACCGAAAAGCCAGTACTACCCACTAAAACCCAATGGAACCTCCCTCGATAGGATCAATTACGCGCTTAAACGTAGCGCCTCGAGCAAGCTGGCCTGCTAAGGCAGACTACCTATTTTATGGTACAGCTAAGAACTGTCGAGTGATATGAAGTACTTCTTATAATGGGAATATATTTCATCTCGCGAAAAAATACTTTATAAGATATAATTATTTCGGTGATTGTCGTGAATACAGAGGGTGGTAATGGCGAACTAAATGTTTACATATTTATTTAAATTATTAATTTGCCCTTAACGTGAGGGTAGTAAAAAAAAGATAAAATAATATTTAAGACAGACGACGACGAGATGCGAGCGAAGCAGATTAAGCGCAAGACTGTGTTTTGTCAATCAAGCGAATTTATTTTTCTAGCATGAGAATATTTGTGTTGTCGCGTTTGAGCATATTGGTTGATTGAAATCAGATTCAGAGTATTACATTCAATATACGTAGTTAAATCAGTTTATAATATCAGATCAGTTACCAGTCAGCGAGACTCGGTATAAGGGAGATTGGAGGCCTCTAGGGAGGGATCAGACCCTCGTACATTTTACCAGCAATTAGTTAATTATAATAAATAGGTTTATCAGTTATATTATAATTACGATGTGCTGTCTGTATGTCGTCTATATCTGTCTAATACTAATGAACAGGATATTTGGCGACAGTTATTAAGGCAACATCCATACCCCATACGAATATTATAAATATGAAAATAACTCTGTCCATGTATTACGTTTTCAGGCTTAAACCACTCAACAGATTTCGATGAAATTTGACAATAACATAGAGTACATCCTAGGAATGAGCATAGGCTATCTTTGATCTCCACCACCATGCGAGTGAAGCTGCAAGTAAAAACTAGTAGTATTATAAATGTGCAAGTTATCTAGGGTTACTAGAATAGAACAGTATAAACTAGATGTTTAAACTATTTTTTTCTAACACACACGTACACAATAATTTTACTAATATAATTTTTAAAATTAAGCTTGTACGCAGAGTTTCCTGTAATTGATCATTCACTAAATAAATGATAATCATATTTTAGCAAGTTAGATTAAATTCTAATAAGTAATATCGAAGTCACGTTATAGCAACCAGATAAAAAATCATTTACATTTTTCTATTAAAATTTGAATTTGATCTGTAACATTAGGTTTATTATTTTAAAATGCATATTTATGTACTTTCGTTAAATAGACCGTGCCTCAGAACTTTACGACGTACGAGAATTGATTTATATTATTTTAATCTGCAAATTATTTTTACAACCCAATAATGTATTATATAAGCATTATTTCTCTATAAAAAGCTATTAATATGAGTATTATCTTATTGCTTAATAACTGATAACGCGATTTCATAAATTATTAGGCACACGTCGTATTTTAGTTAGTTTGATATAATATCTTTGTCGCTTGTGCTTATAAATTTAATATGAACGGTATAAGCAAGTATATTTTGGTAGTATTCTTATTAATAGTGACTAGAATAGAATGTGCAAGAATATTAGCATATTTCCCCACACCGTCTATAAGTCATCAAGTAGTTTTTCGTCCTTTAACACAAGCCTTGGCTAAACGTGGACATGAAGTTATTGTTGTTACAACGGACCCAGCCTTTCCAAAAGGAAACGGGCCTTCAAACCTGACTGAAATTGATGTTCATGATATATCATATGGAATGTGGAATGAATTATTGCAATATCACAATGGAAAGAAGCAAGATCTTGTACTTCAAATAAAAATAATTTTTGAAAGAATCACAACTATTCTTGACAAGCAATTGGAATCGCATGAAGTAAAAAATATATTAGCTAATAAAGACAAAAAATATTTTGACCTACTGCTGCTCGAAGCTTGTAATCGCCCACTTATAGGAATGGCTCATAAATTTGATGCACCTGTTATACTGATCAGTTCTTTTGGAGCAGTTCCTCTTCATTACTATTTATTTGGAGCTCCCATACACCCGTTTCTATACCCTACAGCTGGAAATCAAAGACTGTATAATTTAACCCTTTTTGAAAAATATGTTGAATTACTTAGACAAATGGCAGTGGGTTATTTCATTACAATGACAGAAGATTTTGATTATAAAATCATGAAAAAACATTTTGGTGATGATATCCCAGCTTTAAAGAATTTTCGGAATGTAATTAAGATGATGTTCTTAAACGAGCATCCTTTATGGGCTGACAATCATCCAGTTCCACCAAGTATTGTTTACATAGGCGGTATTCATCAATCAAAGGACAGAGAGCTACCACAGGTATTTACTTATTGTCGTAATTAGTATATATAATATTAAAGTATTTCTTTGTTACTTTGAACTTATTGTGGAAGAATGAGACAGGCTACATTTTATGATCTTTAACGAAAGATGTAGGGTACAATATATTTATACGGAACTATCAACAAATATGGTAACAAATAATAACAATAACATTTTTGCATGCTTTATTTAAGGACTAATAAAGTATTTAAAAACTTCGATATTTCGAATTTTATATTTTAGAGAAGTAAGTTTAACTATAGTGATAGTTTAGATTTAATGCAAAAAAGTTATCAAATTGAATCCACCAAGAATGAAAATACGTATTATGTATATCACTTTTTGGATTAGACAAAATATTGCTTGGCTATTACTAAGAAATACGCAGTGTCTCGACATACGTACGTTAGGAAATGAGATTAATATATGAATTATATAATATCATATTATTATGTTTGTAGCATATCGCGATCTTTCACGATACACCATTATTTATGATTAATTACGCGTGACGCAATTATTTTGCAATAAATGTTGAATAATTCAATTTGTTGTTTTAAGGATCTTAAGGATTTCTTAGATTCTTCAAAGCATGGTGTTATATATGTAAGCTTTGGTACAAATGTTTTGCCATCACTTCTTCCACCTGAAAAAATACAAGTTATGACAAAAGTTTTTTCAAATTTGCCTTATGATATTTTATGGAAATGGGATAAAGATGTTCTTCCTGGACAACCAAAAAATATTAAAATATCGAAGTGGTTTCCACAACCAGATATTTTAAGTAAGTTAATTTTATATTACAATTTGGTGCTAACAAACATATTACAGATACTTAAATCATATCAACATCTGCAAAGCGCAATATTATAACTCAGAATTGCAGAAATTTTGAATTTTGGTGTATAATATATATATAAATTATCTCAATATTGAGAACAATGTTATTCTATGCAATATCGATATTAAAACTTTAATGCAAGTAGCCCTAAATAATGATACATAATATTTTATGCTTAGCACAAAAGTAATAATTTATTGGCAAGGGCAGCAAGTGATATAACAATTATATCAAAATATGATAATTATATATACTTCAATACGCAAAGTATTAAATAAAATGTTTTTAGAGTAATAATTACGTTAATCTCCCATATATTTTTATTTACAGAACATCCCAATGTTAAGTTATTCATAACTCAAGGCGGTCTACAATCTACAGATGAGACTATAGATGCTGCTGTACCTGTTATAGGTATCCCTATGTTAGTCGATCAGTGGTACAATGTTGAAAAATATGTGCGTCATAAAATTGGAGTACAACTCGACATAACTACATTGACAGAGGAAGAATTCAATAAATCCATTACAACGGTTATTGAAAATAAAAGGTGATAGATAATTGTACAACAATTATTAAGTAATTTAGATTACTGTCGAATTAAATAGCTTCTGAAAATATATGATTAATTTTTTTCTTATTTCATTATTTACAAAGTTATTCTAGCATTTTTTTTATATTTTCAGCTATAAAAATAATATTTTAAAACTCAGGACTATCATGAGAGAATATCCAATTAAACCAGTAGACCGTGCTGTATGGTGGACTGAGCATGTCATAAAGTTCGGCGCAGACCATCTCCAAGCTCCTGCAAGAGGCTTAACTTTTGTAGAATATTACGAAGTTAAACTAGTATTTATAAGTATTAGTATTTTAATCTTTATTTTAACATTATTAGCTTTCGTTATTAAAAAAGTTTTAAATTATATATTACAGTTGTATAGAACGTACTCAAAGTTAAAAACATATTAATAACTAAGCTTTTATATATAGATTGTTTGACCTAATTATATTTTTGACTTTGTTTTTTTTTAAGCAATTTTTTTTTTGTTTTAATTGTGAATTGTATTGCTGTTTTAATTGTAAATTGTGTAATTTTATATATAGAATGTAAGAGAGATCATTGTTATCTGCATTGCAGTTATTATCTGACCGTACAACTGAAAAAAAAAACGGCGTTGGAAACAAAACTGCACAGAAAGAATTAAATAGAAATTTTACATAAGCCATTTAATAAGCCATTAAGAACACGTAACCGAATTTAAAAAATACGGCTCCAATTTATTTTCTAAAATTATTATAATTTATTCTAATGTACCTATATGAAAGTATGTATATTAATCTATGCAGAAATGTAATGCACTGAATTTATATTTCTGCTTGGACCAAAAAAATAGATGTTTATTTTTTTTTTGTAAATTTATCCTTTTGGCATATCTAAATACCCAAATTCTTATACATATTATAATTCTTATATACTTAATATCCTTATAATATTACATGGTATTAAGACCGTGGAAGTAACCCCTTGGTTGTTATGTTCTGCTTCTGCTGGTCAGCCGTCGGGGCGTCGTGGTTGAGTGAGTAAGCGATCCTGATTCGCCTAATTAAGACGTAAGTTTTGTTGGGTTTTAGTGGGTAGTACTTGATTTTCTAGCCAGTGATTCCCACATGACCACCTGTATGAATGCAGGATGTACAAGGAAAGCAGCTGTTAGGGAGGAGTGGCAACGAATTGTCATGTATGCCACAGCGCTCAAGTGACGACCACGACCACTCTGTCAAGAGTGTAACGACTCAGAAGAATGTATGCAGATGGTATGAGTAAATGCATTTCTTGTTCTCGTTCACTTTTTATCTTGAACAGTAACCCAAAAAAAGATATATTCTTATATACCTAAATAATAAAAAAATATCAATTCGATTTATTCAATCTGACAGTAATTGATTAAATTTTTATCGATGGATTTTTGTGTTTGTAAAATTTAAAATAATGTGCTTAATTCGAAACTCTTTTAATATAATCTAATTCTTTATCACTGTGTCAATGAAGTTACTTGCTAAAAAACGTAATTTATGTCACAATATCATTCATGGGCATTGATTGTCGAATCAAAAACTTTTTAACAAAAAAATAAAAACCGACTTCAAACAAAAGCACTAAAAAGTAAGAAATAACTGATTGGTAGTTTTCATTTACTATACATACCTAATCAAATATTTTCGAAGTCGGTGTGCTTTGCTTTGGTAATTGCTTTGATTAGGTATGTATTTAATAGGTAGGCTTTAATTACTTAGCCAAAGCACACCGACTTCGAAAATATTTGATTAGGTATGTATAGTAAATGAAAACTACCAATCAGTTATTTCTTACTTTTTAGTGCTTTTGTTTGAAGTCGGTTTTTATTTTTTTGTTAAAAAGTTTTTATTTTTCCCTTTTTAGTGTAGACAGTAGTAGCAAAGTAAGAATTCTAAAGTGTTAGGCTTGTCAAATCAAACAAAATAAGCCCAAACTCAAAGTATCTACTATTAGTCGTTGAAGAGTTCCACCTATCCACCTTCTGGCCTTACCATCAGATCAGGTCAACAATACAGAACCACCGTATTATCAACGGAAATAGAAACACTTGCAAAGTTCCAAGTCAATATGACAATAAGAAGTAGGTTAAATTCATCATTAGCTATTTTTCCACCCTTAGGGGTGGTTTTTTTTTTGAAATTTAAATGGGACCAATCTGGTAGTATACCCTTTCAAAAAAAAAAAATTGTCTAAATCGGTTAATAAATGACGAAGTTCTGAGGTAACAAACATAAAAAAAATACAGTCGAATTGAGAACCTCCTCCTTTTTGAAGCCGGTTGAAAAATTAGAATGCATTGATAATGCCTAATTTGATAAATAGTTGCTTACTAACTAAAGATAGTACATCACATAAAAACCGCTTAATAGTAATTCCAATTTAATGAGTGGACTTTTTTTTGAAATTTAGACGAGAACACAATTAAGGTAAACACTATTTACAACGCTTTGAAGACGTTAACAATAAAATTGAATTGAACTATAAAATATGTTAGATATCGTGACCAATTTAGAAAAATAGAAAGACTTAAGTGTCATATTGAACTGTAAAATTACAGTGAGTCCGGATAATTTTATGTACCTTGTAATTTATGCGGTTTCGGATTACTATAATTTTAAATGTTAATTGGCTTTACGTCTACAAAATTAGGTCTGTTGAATAGATTTTCGTTTAGTTTAGTTAGTATATAGATAGACTATGACTACTGTCTCCTGATAAGCACCTGATGCACCTGAACGAAGCGAAGGTAAATCGCTATGTGATAATGATCATTTTTAACTCTAGTTGATAGTAATATTTATTTTGAATATATAAATGGTATATGTTTTAAAATTCTTCTTCACTTATATTTTATACTTAATTCTGTGTTCTAAGTATCTCAGGCGTTTTGCCGTGCGCATCCTGCGCATGCGCTTAATGTTAACAAATTGTAAGCATCAAGTAAGTTCACCTTTCAAGGGCCTTTTTTAAGAGTTATAATTTTATATGTTTCAATTTGACACTAAAATAATATTTTGTACTGTTGTTCCTTCAATACGATGAGAATCTGGCCACAGGCAAGTCGGCTGGCTGCACGAGCACATGTCATTCGAAAACTTGCTAGATTCTCTCAGACATACAGGTTTTCTCACGATGTTTTACTTCACCGTAAGATAAGTGGTAATTATGTTGGAAATTATTCGCACATGAAAATATCAGCGGTGCGAGACCCGGGGTTTGAACCCGCTTCACTCTGTTTCCCAAGTGAGCGCGTTGATTTGCTTTTATTTTAACCCGACCAATCTCTTTCATGTCTTCTCCATTCAACGTGACATTGGTAAAGTGATGATGATGATGTTCTCCTGGCCGATTCCGGCTACGGCGGCCAATCTCATTGAGACTAGCCAACTGCGCAGGAGACATTATAGTGCACAATTGACGCGCAGACACAAGTGCACTCTCTATTCCTGTCACTCTCATACTCTGTTAGGACGACCATTCGACACGACCAGTGAGAGTTAAGGGGCAGGACCGTCGCTTTACGTGCTCTCCGAGGCACGGGGGTGAAACACCGTCAACTTCCCAACTCCGGGCTGTTACTGAGACTTACTATACAGAAAGCTTCGATAACTAAACTTGGCCCGACCCGGGACTCGAACCCAGGACCTCCAAGTGTGCAGCTATACATGCTAGCCACTACACCACCGAGGCAGTTAATCATTGGTGAAGTAATCTGTATTTAAAAGATAACAGACCATTAACAAGAAAATTGAATTGAATTCACCCTAATGCCTTAACGACACTTGCGCTATCTATTGACATGGCCATATATTATAAAGAATTATAATATGAAGTGCATTCGAAGCATGATAATAATCATACAAGATGGCGTTAATATACTAAATTTCTTTTAGCCGAACGAACGCCTGGATTTGTGATTTCTCGTTATTGTAAATATAATAAATATCTACATATACTATGAATAAGACTCGGTTTGTTTGTTTTTGTATGAACGCGCTAGTCTCTGGGACTACAATTCAGGTTTAGAATATTTTAATTGCATTTGACAGCCTAATTCTTGAGGTTATACATAAATATTGTTTGAGGTAAAGTTTGTGAGATTGTGAGTTTGTGACGTTGTAACCTCTGAATCTACTGAACTGATTTAGATGAAATTTGGTGAGAAGATAGTTTGAAACCCTGGGAGGAACATAGGATATTTTTAATCTCGGAAATCATCCCTTAAGGGGGTGAAAATGGGGATGAAATTTGTATGGGGAATGAAGCCAGGGACGAACCCGAGCGAAGCGAGGGTGAGCCGCTAGTACATATATAAATAGATTACACGAGCAGTACAAAAATGCTTAGTCTAATTGAAAAAATCATTAACAAATGTAAATGAAATAAGTTTTTACATATTCATAGATAACGATGTACCTATACATTTTTAAAATAAAACTAAAGTCCTAATGCTCATAAATCGAGCATCCGAAAGCTGCCGACTGGGCAGTACACTCGATATATGTATGTATACTGTATTTATTTTTATTGTATAGAATTTGACGAACAAAATAGCCCGACGAATTGACCAAATGAGGAAAATCCCTTTGTTTGTATGGAATAATGCCTATACGGATATAATGAAGATTTTAGCAAAAACATACATACAAAAAGTTAATATGAACAAGCGAGTAAAGCATGGGTGTATTGCTAGTTTCTTAATAGGTTACACTAAGTTGTTTGAACAAGGAAAATGTAACAAATGAATACGTATATTTACAAGATAAGAAGGTTTAACTATGCAAAGAACAGTATTTAAAAAGATTATTTTGTAGAGAGACAATAAAAGGTAATAACTGTCGTAACAAAAAATAGTAAGCCTTAAACATGTCTGTACATATTTGTGACAGTATTTTTCAATATTTTTCAGTTTGCTTAACAATTTTCAAATTTCACCCTTGGTAGTTCCCAGGATATTTTGTATTTTTCATACATTTCTATCTATACAAATAAATAAAAGTGAAGTGTCTGTTTGTAATATCGAAATAACTTTTTACTAAATGCATATGAAATTATATAGGTACTTACCTATAAGAATAACACACAAAATTTTTGCCTGTTTGTTTGTAGCCGGAGCTAATCTCCGAAACGGCTGGAATGATTTTGACTGGACTTTCACTAGCTTTAGCAAGTTACTCCTTATAACACCATCTATCTGCTAGTAAAAGTCCCGTCAAAATGATTCCAGCCGTTTCGGAGATTAGCCGGAACAAAGAAACAAATGAACAGACAAAAATTTTGTGTGTTTTTCTTATATGTATATAATTGTCTTATATATTAGAAGCGTGATCCTCGTGCCAAAAGCAGAGTGAGACTAGCATATTGTTGTAGGCAAAATTACATAATACGTATATTATTTTAAATAAAGCTATCTTTTCGGATTTTTTTCGCGGATTTATTTTGTTTTTTGGCTCTCGATGTTTTGACGTCGACGAGGCTCCCGAGACCATGATTACTGTAAAGCATTCGAAACGTCGGTAACCAAAAATTTAAATAAATCCACGAAAAATCCGAAAACATAGTTTTATTTAAAATATCAAATATTCGCGTAAATATAAGAAAGTATTGCGAATATTATTACAAATAGAGGTAAATCCAATAGGTATAATTTTGAGTTAAATGACAATAACGTTTCTGAATAAAATGTTTAATTTGGAATATAAAAAATGTTTTCTTGTAAATATTAGTTAAATATTATATAATTTATTTATGTTTAATGTATTATTCAAAATTAAAAATGTATGCCTGTTCGAATACACACCGAAAGTTTAAGTTTCGATTTATCTAATTTTGGTGTAATATGTTAAAATGTCCCCGACTCAGAAGCATCTATTAGGAATAGATACAGATTCGTGATAATTTAATGGCATAAATTACTCAAAAATGCCTTTTTTTGTTAGGTTTACCTTTAAGTTATGCATCTGATATTTAAATAAAGGATTTTTAAAATTCAAACCAGTGATGTTTGAATAATTGAATGATAACATTTGTGTAAGTTGAACCAATACTTGAAAAGCGATGCCGATACTGCTGTTATTTACATTTAATAACTGGCCCTTTCGGGATCGATGTATGTATTTAGTTCCCGTGAAATGGAACAGTTCCTATGATATCGTATAACTGAGGGCTAATCGTTAGTGTTAAAAATACTAGATGAGTACCTTTTAACCTCCTGTTACAATTTTTATCATCTTAGGGCTCTCAATAACTGAGCAAGGTCCACTCCTACTCATGCAGCTAATTTAGTATAGGATAGCTCATATTGAGGTCACGTCCGAAGCATAAATCAGGCAAAGCAATTTGCGTGGAGCATGTCGCATACTCAATATTTCTATTTTGACAACCAATATTTTAACTACCCTCATATATCATTTGGACGTTTTGTCAAAGTTTAAACGCCTTTTCGCTATAAATTGCAGCTCTTTTATTATTTTTATGTCAGTTTCTATGAAAATCTAAATCTAACTGTTTTAGTAGGTACTATTTTGCGGAGATGGAGTATGGTAATAGCAATATGCTTATGCACTCCGAACTCAACTCTTTAAATTGTGCTTCATTCCAGGCTACTTCTGTATAAAGTAACAGTTACTGGTATTGCTCGCGCTAAGACTTATAGACCCTCGTGTCTTCTCCGTTCTATGACTTCTACGTGACATTGGTGAAGTTATCTGTGTTCAATACAACACGTTTTGAAGACACGAGAATTGACTTGAAGACTTTTAGAATTAAGAATACCAATTACAATGCTAAGCCGATGCAAAGCAAATCTAATATATTTCGATACGTAAAATATATATTTACCTATTGGATATTCATATATTAAAATATTGTAGGCTGGCACCAACTTCGAAAATATCTGATTAGGTATCTATTCTAAATGAAAACCTCCGATTAGTTATTTTTTACATTTGAGTGCCTGGAAGTCGGTTTTTATTTCTTTTTAAAAAGTTTTTATTTCTCCATTTTTAGTGTAGACGTAATAAGCAGGTAATTTGTAAGAAGAAAGTTTTTTAATAACATATTCGCTAAAACAATTTATTTAAAAAAATATTTATTGTTGTTTTTTTGTAAACTGCTCGACCGATTTCGATAAAATTTATATGAGACCCTTTGAAACAAAAGAAAAACCAAATTGAGTCAGGCGTTTTCGAGTAATCGGTGAACATACATAAAAAAAAGATTCCGACGAATTGAGAATCTTTTTGGAACTCGGTTAAAACAGTATCCATATAATGTGACGAGAATATCTAACGACATAATATGTAAATCCACATTGCGTATTAGTTTTTTTATAAACTAGTTTTTATTGTTAATACAATATGTTAATAAATTTATATAGGTACGTAATCAGTGGTTCACCCTCGCTTTGCTGGGGTTCGCCTCTAGGAAAGCAAAAACAAATCCCACGGGAACCGTACATTTATCGGGATAAAAAGCCTATGTACTATTCTAGACTAGTCTAAATCCGTTTATCCTTGCGCGATTAAGTAACAGACATCCAAACATCCATCTAAACTTTCACATTTAGAATATCAGTAAGATCATTACTGCGTGTATTACTTACTATATTGTAAATATTTTGTATTTTTTTATGGCTTATATGTGCTAAAAAATATATTGTCTGTATGCATACATGGTCTGAAAGAATGATTGTGTAACTTAATATTTATAAAAATAAATCGACTCCATTTTAAGTGTCTGAGCTACAACGATGACAGTGCAAGGACAAAACAATTTAAGCAGCATTATTTCTATTCATGATCAAAGATAATATCATGATAGCGGTGTTATGTCACTACAAAATATACACTCGCCCTTAATGACTATACAATATACATATGTAATACATATAAGATGGTGCATATCTTTCAAAAACTCACATCACTATACAATTCCGACTTGTAATGAGCTAGTGTAAAAAAATGTTGAGGTTCGCAAGTATATTGTTCCTTTTTACATTTGAAAATGTGTGTGATTGTGCAAATATTTTAGCCGTATTTCCTACTCCATCCATAAGCCATCAAATAGTGTTTCAACCTGTGATGCATGAGTTGGCTAAGCGTGGACATCAAGTTACAGTCATAACACCAAATCCAGCATTTCCAAAGGGGCAAAGCCCACAAAATCTAACAGAAATTGATGTCCATGATATATCCTATAAAATATGGGAAGAATTCGTAGCATCTGAAAAAGGACAAGAAAATGATGCTCAACAACAAATTAAATTTATTTTTGAAATCTTAAATTCTGTGTTTTTAGAACAATTAAAATCTTCTGAAGTACAGAAGCTTATTTTTAACAAAAAGAAGACTTTTGACTTATTATTTATTGAAACATGTATAAGACCAGCTATAAGTTTTTCATATATTTACAAAGTGCCAGTGATACAAATGAGTTCACTCGGTGGCATTTATGGAACTTTCGAATCTACTGGTGCTCCAACAAATGCACTCCTTTATCCTCTACCAGTCCGTCAAAAAATAATCAATTTAACAATTTGGGAGAAGATATCAGAATTACGTACTCAATATAATGGAGAACAAGTGTATGAAGAGTTATTGATATCCGAAGATAAAATGCTAAAGAATATATTCGGTCCAGATATACCTGATATTAGAGAGCTACAAAAAAATGTTCAAATGCTATTTTTAAATATTCACCCTATATGGGATTTCAATAGACCTGTTCCCCCAAATATTATATATTTGGGTGGTTTGCATCAACACTCACCAAAAAAATTACCACAGGTATTTATGATAATTTATACATACTAATGAAAACGGTTTTCCTTTGTCACGCTATCAAGTAAAAACTAGTGAACGTATCGGTATCTGACTTTGACCAATTAACTCAGAATAGCTTGTAGATTAGGTTATTTATTTTTTAAATTCCATACACTCTTCACCAATTTTTTGTATTTCATTGGCTTAGTTATTAATTTGTGAGGCTTAAAGCAAAAACGGAACGACTGTTGTAAAAAAGTTATATATGTCACAGGGAAACTGTAAAAACCATGAAATTACGATTTCACTAGTGAAATTATGATTACGCGGAGTATTGTCAATCGTCTTCTTTTTTTATAATATCATGGGACATTTTTATGTACATTATAATTTTCCTAAGCACATATAAGATGTAATATAAATATCTAATACTAGTATTACAAAATATTTCATATTACATTCATAGGAACTACAATCTTATCTTGATTCTTCTGAAAATGGAGTTATATACATGAGTTTCGGTACAAATGTGAAACCGTCATTGTTACCGGCAGAAAAGATACAAATATTTGCAAACGTTTTTTCCCAATTGCCCTACAATGTTCTATGGAAATGGAATACTGACGAGAGTCCAGGAAAATCTGAGAATATCAAAATTTCTAAATGGTTTCCTCAGGCTGATTTACTAAGTAAGTTTTACAATTTTTTGGTGTGTTACGCTGTCTGTACAGATTCGAAACAAAACTAAATATATGTATACTAGCGGACCCGACAGACGTTGTCCTGTCTACACGTCTTTAATTTGAAAATTTCAAACTTTTTTTAATAATTAAAAAAACATTGTCCAGCGGACAAAATTGTGAATCTAAACCATTCCCAGATCCCCTTGAACACACACAAAAAATTTCATCAAAATCGGTCCAGTCGTTTGAGAGAAGTTCAGTGACATACACACTCACAGAAGAATTATATATATAAAGATTAAATCTAAGTAATCTTAGTATTCGCAAAAAAATATACACAATCATTTTAGTGATCAAGGTTTCTTTTTCACTAAACACATTATTGTGATAAATGCATTTATAATTTAAAAATATTAAAATGCAATACGTTTTTATATATTACTAGAGAGTCACCCTCGCTTCGCTCAGGTTGGTCCCTAGCTTGCTTCCATTGCAAATATTCATCCCTATTTTCACCCTCTGAAGAGATGATTTCCGGGATAAAAAGTATCCTATGTCCTTCCCAGAGTCTCAAACTATCTTCTTACCAAATTTCATCTAAATGGGTTCAGTAGATCCAGAGATTACCGCCTACAACCTCAGAAACACACAAACTTTACCTCTTTATAATATTAGTACAGATAAACTCGTTAATAATTTTCCACATATTTATTAATATATATGTTAGTTTTTAAGGTATATATGTTATGGACTTCTGTTTACATATTTAAGAACTTTTTGTAAATATAGCCTGAAATAAATGAATAAATTAAAAAAAAGTATATGATAGGTACACATTATTATTAAACATTTTAATGTTAGAAAGTTTCTGAGCATTATATTTTCAAGTAATCGCTATTTACATTATTATACCGGAAATTATCTACAATATACATATTTGCTAAATTCTTAGAGATAACTTTCAGCGGCTACATACATATTATGTATGTACGTAGTGAATATTTTTTAACGTCACGTTCTTCTAAAAAAAAAACAAAATGTATAGTTACTACTTACTATACCTTTAAGAGTGTATTCAACCCTTTTTAACGTTCTGTTGGGCGTGGGCATCCCTTCAATATGAGGGGGATGACGCCATAGTCCACCACGCTGGCTAAGTGCGGGTTGGCGGACAAGATAAATTTTTTTTCAAGAATAAATAATTGTATTTTATATTCGTTTTCCCATAACTATTTCATTTTAGAACACCGGAATGTAAAGCTATTCATTACACAAGGAGGTCTACAATCAACGGATGAAGCTATTACTGCAGGTGTACCTTTAATTGGCGTACCGATGCTTGGAGACCAATGGTTTAACGTAGAACAATATGTAAGACTAGACATAGGAATCAAACTAAACCTACAAACCATAACTGAGGAAATCTTGAAAAATGCTATAGAACATATTATTAACAATAAAAGGTAAATTATTGTTATATTTAAAATTTCATAAGTTGATAACTTGGTGCTATATATTAAGATTTAAAAATAACTTATCAACTAACTAGTAGTTTCGGAGATAACGCGTTCATACAAACAAAAAACAATGAAACTTTAAACAAATAGGATTTTATATTAACTTTAATTGAAGAATTTGACTTGTTATGAAATTGTTGTTATAAAACAAATGCTTTAAATTACTTTAAATAAAAACTATGTCAATTATATTAAATTAAAAAATTGTCTTAAATACTATATTTTGTTAATGTATTTTAGCTACCGTCAAAATATTATGAAACTACGGGACATAATGCACGATCAACCCCAAACACCACTAGAGCGTGCCGTATGGTGGACAGAACACATTCTTCGACGTGGTGGCGCCTCACATCTACAGTCTGTTGCTGCTCATATGCACTGGACCGAGTACTATTCAATAGATATAATATTATTATTATTGAGTTTTCTAGTGATATTTTTGATTTTAACAATATTTACAATACAATTTCTAATGTCAAAACTACAATATATTCAAGTTAAAACGAAAGTTCATTAATTTGTTTATTATGATAGTTTGTTGTTGTAGTTTTATTTGGAACATTTTAAGCTGTGATATTGTGGATACAATATAATTAAACGTTTAAATTATTTATACAGTTTTATTCTTAGTAACTAACACAGTATCAATATAAACTTGAGTTTTTTATATACTTAAGTTTAGTTTTTATATATTAATTTTATTTATATAATTAACTAGCGACATTTGGCATGTGTATAGATAATAGTAAATATTTCAATAAGATTTAAAAACAAAATTCTAATAAAACGTATACATTATACATATGTATACATACATTATAGCGTATGTATTACTCTGTATAGGTACTACTACTATATATTACTGTAAAGTTTTATCAAAACCCGTTGAATAGTTTTTACGTGACAGAGTAACAAACATACAATATCTTTACAACTTCACTAGGTTTAACATCATCTCGCAGCAGAATTATGGGATTTATGGGGAATAAATTAAGCCAAACCATATTCCTACATGACTCCATATTCCTTCATTCCATCTTGACTCCATATTCCTACATGGTTTCTCATGGAGATCAAATCAAATAAAAGTTTCTTATAAATATAACATTTTTCGTAAGCTATTTCTTCAATAAGTATTATATTTCCATTAACGAGATAGAAGTTTAAATTTGAAAATCAATATATCTACATGGAATGCTTAATTTTTGAAAATTTTATTCCCTCTTTCACGGGACACAGACAGACAGATTTTTAGTATTAAAAATAATATATAAAAATATTTTATGATCATTTATAAATTATTTTACTGATAACGAAATGGTGAATGCTGTGTTTACGCAACCAACCTTATAAAATTGCTGAAGACGCCATTATAATACCTACACACTGAGATATGTGCTAGTTCCATACTACCTGCTGAGTTCACTTCATAGTTGTGTTTATTTTATTTCCTTAACTAAACTAACAATTCATATGCAATAAATATGAAATGTTCTCAATAACGAACACACATTTTTATTTCGACTTAAAAGTTGTAGGTACCTTACAAGTTACAATGTTAGCAAACCTTATATTTTTATGTTAATATTTTCGATTTTGGCATACGGATACTTATTTTATTTAAAGAATAAAAGAATTTTTATTAGCGTAACATAATATTAGCTTATTTTTTCTTCATTATAATAGCGTCATAAATATAATAAATAGATATTTACATAAAGTACGATGGACAGAATAATGTTTTGTATTATATTACTATATATATATATATATATATATATATATATATATATATATATATATATATATATATATATATATATATATATATATATGTATTTACATCTTGACGTATTTTTTTACTTTAAAAATATTTGACCATATCCATACATACCTATACTTAATAAAATTCTGAGTCGAAACTGTACGTTAAATATTTTTTGAAAAATCTTATGGAAATATTATCGATATATCTATAGTTTTTAGATTTTTTTCTGTCTGTCTTTCTGTGACCGCATCACGGAAAAACCACTGGAGGGACTTTGACGAAATTTGGTAGATGATAGCTGGTTATCCGGGTCAACATATAGGATACTTTTTACTACGGGAAAATATCTCTGAGAATATATATCTATACTAAACGTTAAAATGTAAGTAGGAAGGAACCCGAGCGGAGCGAGGGTGAGTCGCTAGTTCTACATAAGTTATTTTCGTTAACTTATACAATACACATAGTATGTAATATGTTATACCTATACAAGAACATATTGACAAATGACGATACACCTCACCGACGGAGTTAGTGATCCTTTACCGATTTATTTGTTCTGATATACGGGGTCGTATGTTATCCCTGCGATTCAGATAAGTTCGAGGATCGAAAACAGAGGATGTGTCCGAAGATTTACTGCTCATCCTGTGTATATAGGAGTGCTTACTCAAGGAAGCTAGGTTATTTCTTTGGACATAGGTACAGAATAGTATTCTGAATTGGACTACTATTATTATAAATTTTCATATGTTTGTTTTTGCACGGTAAAATGGCTGAACGGATTTAGATGAAATTTAGTATTCAGATAGATATATCATAAAATTAAGTCAAAAATTAAATATGTATTATGCCCAACTGGCACTCCTAGAAGCCATGGAATAAAAGAATTGAATTGAAATATGTATTATTGAGTAAAATTTATCACTCTAAGTCTCTATCACAGAATACTTGCTAGATGCAAAAAAGTGCAATTTTAGTTGGTTCTCACGTAGGATAATATATAATTATTGTATTGCAATATTGTAAACAAATATTATTTAAAAAATTAATTGTTGAGTTTCTCGCCGGATCTTCTCTGCAGAACTGACTTCCGAGCCGGTGTTTTCTCACGGATACGTACTAGCATTTAATTTAAATTTAAAATATGTGATGATTTAAAAGTGCTTGTAAGTCTATTTGAATAAAGTATATTGTGATTTGTTTTAACTAACACGAGTGACTAACAGGAACGAAGCGTGGGTAGGTCGATATTATCATATATACTAAGTTCAACCATATAAGTTTTGTTAGAATATTGGAAATTTAATCTAAATATAATGCAGTATATTAGGAAGGAAGCAGAAGCGTTGGTAAGACCTAAAGTTAGTACTTGAGCTTAATACGCTTTCTAAGAAATTGTGAAGTGGATCGCTAGTTATAATATGGTACATAACATAATTAGGACAATATTTGAGAGTAACTTTAAATTATCTATTTATATTTTAATACTAACGCCTTATCCCCGCTTCACTCGGATTATAGATGCATAAAAGACAAACGATCTAATATTTTTTTCTTGCGCCAAGAACCATCGGCGTATACGGTATAAACCAACAGAGTTTCATCACAATAGGATCAATAATTAAGTAACTTATAGAGTGAGATCACTAAAAACAAAAGCAAATCTATCCTACGGGAAGTAGCGACCATATTTTGCGTGGAATAACGCGAAACAAACCCGCATGAAAACTCGAAAACACGCGTTTTCCCAGACATAAAACTAATCTAGATCGATTTATTGCCCTGAAACCCCTGTATACTAAATTTCATGAAAATCGTTGGAGCCGTTTCCGAGATTCAGATATATATATATATATATATATATATATATATATATATATATATATATATCGTTATATATATATATATCATATATATATATATATATATATATATATATATATATATATATATATATATATATATATAATCGTTTAAATATATTAGATTTCACGCATACTCATCTTGCAAATCCCACACTATGATTACTATTACACTATTAATCTTACACATACGAAATTGATCTTGTAAGTCTGTTTGATTTGATTTAAAAACAAAATTATAAGTTAATTTTTAACACGAGTTCATAAGATGCTATAATGAGGCAAAGAAGATGAATCGTACGTTATGCAAGCAATATGAATATATTAATACTAGCGACTCACCCTCCCCATACAAACTTTTATCCCCATTTTTACCTCTTTAAGGGATGATTTCCGTGATAAAAAATATCTTGTAGGGGTAAATGATTATAATATCTCCCTATAACCTCACAAACTCATAAACTCACAAACTTTACCTCTTTATAATATAAGCATAGATATTTTTATGTATAAAGAAATATTTAGACCATTTCAATGTAGGATTTTTAAATTTGACAAAATATAGGAAATTAATAATTGAAATAATTATCACGAAATCATTTAATTTACAGTGTCAAATTGAAAATAAATTCTGGAAAGGGAACAAATAGGAGTTCGTGGTAAGGTGGGATTTTAACGCTTTATCATTATAATTTTAACGAATTTACATTAAACGCTTATAGAAATTAAATAAGTAGTTTATAAAATGAATAATACTAAATGGTTCTGCCGTAATATTCAAACTATATTGTATAATGCCTTTATATGGAGTGGTCCCAAGTTTGCTAGTGCAATTACAACGCATTGAACGCGTATAACATATATTCACCAGGCTTTTCACATTCTACGCAACTGGCACATATCATAAAAAAATATAACATAAAAAATTGTTTAAAATTAAGAAATATTGTAAGGTACTTTTGTTTTAAAATCATTATATAATTTTATGGATAGGTACTGTCTGTAACAGCTATAATAAATGACTTTGGACATGTCTAAAATCTTAGTCTGTCCCGAGGCCATAATTGTTGCCTTACGGCATTCGAAACATCGGGGACCAAAAATCAAAACAGAATAAAGATCGCGGAAATAACTGACAACATAGTTTTATTTAAAACTAGCTACTCTCTCTAGCTTCACTCAGGTTCGTCCCTACTTACGTTTTGACGTTTAGTATAGATTTCTCAGAGATGAGATATTTTCCCACAGTAAAAAGTATTCTATATGTTGACCTGGATAACCCGCTATCATCATACCAAATTTCATCAAAATCCCTCCAGTGGTTTTTCCGTGATGCGATAACAGACAGACAGACACACAGACATAAATTCTAAAAAGTATAGATTCGGGGTCTGTATCGATAATAATGACTAATTCAATAAGATTTTCCAAAAGATATTTAATATACAGATTCGACTCAATTAGAATTTTATTATTATATGTATAATAGATGTCAAATATTCACGTGAATCTAAAAAAAAAATTATACTACGAGTACCTACCTGTCTTTTTTTTAGTTTACATATTGTTTTTCTCTAATAACGATAAGTACGATCATTATCACGTAATATTGTATAATTATGTATATTGTCGGTGTACTAAATAAATAAATATACAATAATCTAATTTTATTTAGGCTATATTACCTCATGTTGTCACCTCTACTGGTGGCCCGTTTTTCACTCAAAGGATCAACATTGCGATTCAGCGAAGGAATTCATCTGGCATTCTTGCCACAATTCCACACGAACATGAGTTTTATCGATACTAATATTATAAAGAGATAAAGTTTGTTAGTTTGTAACTTTGTATAATGTCTAAAACTACTGGTCTAATTTTCGA